TTTATCTATTTCTTGCAGATTCTCAAATTTGTTGGCATGTAGTTGTTAGTAATATTTTATTGAAGCCTTTAGTATTTCTTTGGTGTCAGTTGTTACTTCTCTGTCATTTCTGATTTCATTTGGGTCCTCACTCTTTTTATGATGAATCTGGTAAGGCTTGTCAATCTTTTTTATCTTTTCAAAGAATCAACTCTTGGTTTCATTGATCTTTTGTATTGTTGTGGGCTTTTTTTAAACTCTTGTTTATTTCTGCCCTGATCTTTATCATTTTCTTTCTTCTACTCTAGATTCTGTTGTTTTTCTTAGTTTCTTTAAATGTAAAGTTAGATTGTTTATTTGTATTTTTTCTTGTTTCATGTAATTTTATAAATTTCTCTCTTATGACTGCTTTTATTGTTTCACATAGATTTTGGGTTTTTGTGTGTTCGTTTTCATTTGTTTCAAGGTATCTTTTGATTTCTCCCTTAATATTATTGTTAACCTATTCATTGCTTAGTAACATGCTATTTTTACCTCCATGTTTTGAGTGTTTTTCAGGGTGTGTTTTTTCTTGTGGTTGATTTCTATTTTGTTACCATGAAGATTAGAGAAGATGTTTTATGGGATTTTAATCTGTTTGAATTTATTGATACTTGTTTTATGTCCTAACATATGGTCTGTTTTAGAAAATGTTTCATGTGCTCTTGAAGGGAATGTATGTTCTGCAGCTTTGGGGTGAAAATTTGAAAATATCAATTAAATTTATCTTGTCTAGTGCGTCATTTAACTCCACTGTTTCCTTGTTGATTTTCTCTCTGCATGATCTGTCCATTGAAGTCAATGGGGTATTAAAATCCCCTAATGTGACTGTATTACTGTCAGTCTCTCCTTTTATGTCCATCAAGATTTGCCTTACATAATTAGGTGCTCCTATGTTACTGGCTTGCTCTTTTCATCATTATCTAGTGTACTGTTTGTCTCCCCCTGTAACCTTTGTTTTAAAGCTATTTTATCAGATATAAGTATTGTTACTCTACTTTTTTTTGCATGAAGTATCTTTTTTTTCCCTTTAATTTTAGTGTAGGTATATGTTCTTTCATTCTGAGGTGGATCTCTTGTAGAGAGAGTGTGTGTATGTATCTTGTTTTTTTCATTCATTAAATTCCCATGTCTTTTGCATGGAGTATTCAAGCCATTTACACTTGAAGGGATTATTGATTGGTACCTATTTATAGCCATTTTATTCTTCTAACTGTCCTCTTCTTTATCCCCTTCCTCATCCCCCTCGTCCTTGCAGGCCCTTTATCATTTCTTGTAATATTGGTTTGAAGATATCAAACTCTTCCCCTAGTCTTTTCTTGTCTGGGAAGCTCCTTAGTTCTTCAATTTTAAATGATAGCCTTGCTGAGTAAGGTAGTCTTGGTTGTAGGCCTTTGCTTTTCATGACTTTGAATATTTCATCTCAGTCCATTCTGGTTTAAACTGTTTCTGTTGAGAAATCAGCTGCCAGTCTTATGGAAGGTTTAGAGTCTCTCTTTGTCTTTAAGCTTTGTCATTTTATTTATTATTATTATTATTATTTTTAATCATTTGAGGATATTTTCTTCATTGCTTTTCAGAGAGAGTGGAAGGCAGAGAGAGAGAGAAACATTGATGTGAGAGAGACACATCGATTGTTTGCCTCCCAAATGTGCTCTGACTGGGGCCAGCGATGGAGCCTGCAACCAAGGTATGTGCCTTGGCCAGAATTGAACCCAGGACCCTTCAGTGTGAGGGCCAGTGCTCTAACCACTGAGCAAAATTGGTTAGGGCTGAGCTTTGTTATTTTAATTATGATGTGTCTTGGTGTGGACCTCTGGGTTCATTTTATTTGGGACTCTCTGCACTTCCTGGACTTGTGTTCCCTTTCCTTCAGCAGGCTAGGGAAGTTATACGTGATTATTTCTTTTTTTCTCTCCTTTTTTTAAAAATATATTTTTACTGATTTCAGAGAGAGAGGAAGGGAGAGGGAGAGAGAAATAGAAACTTCAATGATGAGAGAGTCACTGATCAGCTGCCTCAGCAGTCCCCTGCTGGGGATCAAACTTGCAACCCCAGGCATGTGCCCTGACAGGGAATTGAACCATGATTTCCTGGATCATAGGTCAACTACTGAGCCATGCCGCCCAGGCCGTCATTATTTCTTAAAATTGGTTCTCCATCCCTTTCTCTCTCTTCCTTCTGGTACCCCTATAATGCAGATGTTTTGTTATAATGTTTTCCCAAAGGTCCCATAAACTATCCTCACTTTTTAAAATTCTTTTATCTTTTTGCTGCTTTAGGTGATTTTTTTCCTACTTTGCCTTTAAAATCTCTGGTTAGATAGTCTGCTTCATCCAGTCTATTGTTTCTTTCTTCCATTGTACTCATCATTTTAGATATTTTATCGGTTTCTAATTGGTTCTCTTTTATTTTTTCTATGTCCTTTATCATCCTATTGAGTATCCTTATAACCATTGCTTTGAACTCTATACCTCATAAATTGCATACCTCCATTTCTTTTAGCTCTTTTTCTGGAGATCCTTCCTGTTTTTTCATTTTGGACCTCTTTCTTTATTTCCTCATTTTGGCTGTTTTTTTCTGTGTTAGGTAGATCTGCCATGACTCCCAGACTTCATGGGGTGGCTTTACGTAGTAGGTGTCTTGTGGGGTACTGTGGTGCAATTTCCTTAAGCATCTGAGCTTGGTGCTCCAGGAATGTAGCTTGTATGGGTTGTTCGGGGCCCTCGTGTTGCAATTAATCTTTTGTGTGTTTAATATATCATTATTGATTTCAGAGAGACATGGGATAGGGGAGAGAAACATCAATGATGAGTCATTGATCAGCTGCCTCCTGCATGCCGCCTACTGGGGATGGAGCCTGCATGTGCCCTGACCAGGAATCAAACCCCTATATCCTGGGTCATATGTCAGTGCTCAACCACTGAACCATGCCGGCCAGGCTGTAATAATTAATCTTGATTGTTATTGGTCTGTTTGTGCATTCGATCAGCCCTCAGCCTGGCTGACTGTGAGCCTCAGCCCTCATGAGATCATGTGAGCTGCTGTGTAGGTGTTGATTGCACTAAGTGGAATTTGCCTCAGCTGGGTTTGTCCTTGCCCAGATCTCCCTTTGCATTTGCCATTTTGAAGCTTATTAGATCTTGCTGTGATGTTGTATGAAGCTGGCCACTGGGTATGTTGGTTCTGGGCCTCTTGGGAGGGACTGTGGTGCAGATCAGTTTCAGACACTGCCTGTCACTGGCCCTGGGTAACCTGTTTGGAGCTACAGCAACCCAGAGTTTGTGGCTGCCTCTGCTGGGCCTGGGTGTGTGTGGCAAGGACCAAGCTGAGTAGCAAGGCTGGCTTTTACTACCATCGGTCCTTGGGGCAGGGCAGGCAAGGTCCCAAGGCACCCTGAGGTTTGCCTTTGCCTCCTGGCTGCCTGTTAGGCTTAGTCATTGAAACAGACTCTGGCAGTACTTCAGTTGCATGAGATAGGTTCTAAGTGAGTCACTAGGGGGACAGATGGTGTTCACCACATTGATACAGGTTTAAACTCGATGCAAATGTCTATAGGTATACCAAGTATAGCTGTTAACCTGCTGGGTGCTTTTACACCTTGTGTTGGGATGGGGGTTTCAGGGAATAACCAGAGTAAGGCCAGCAGAGTTTATCAGGCCTAACAGAAAATCTGGCCATGTTAAGGAAGGTGTCTGCTTTGTTTGGGTGTGCAAGAGAAAAATGGCCTGTTTTAGAGCCAGCTTAGTCTGTCCCAGATTTTGTTGGGAAAGAGTTGGAGCTCAGCCAGGTGGGACCACCAGAAGTTGGGAGGATGGGGCTGGTGGATCTCCCATGAGGGGGAACTGCCAGTCAGGCTTGGGGAATATAGGGTGTGGCCCCCATCCAGAACCACAGAGCTCCTGTGGTGATTCTATGTGGTTCTCAACAGGGTGGAACCACTAAGTGTGGGGTGGGCAGGGCCTCCAGAGCCCCAAGGGTGGGTGTGTTGGTAGTTGGGCAGGTCTGCCAGAAGCCTAGAGGGTTGTTCTAGCAGATCTCCCCTGGTGGAGAAGGCATAATCAGGTTCACAGGAAAGCAGGGGGAATGGTACCTCTCCAAAGCCAGACAATGTAGTCATTGACTTTTGGAGTCTCTCCAGACCTCTACATTCTGGCTCAGGCAGCTGACTTCTCACCAAAGCCATCTAGGGTGGGGCAATGGTGAACCCAGAGGGTGGGACTTTTACATTACCCCAGGCTGATACCACTCAGTGGGGAGGGTTCCTCCCAAGATGGCATCTTCAGTAATTGAATGTGACTCAGCACAGGGTTCCTAGCAGCTGCCCCCTAGCTCTTTTCCTCCACTAGAGCCACAAACGCTATTCTTTTCTCATGCAGCTAGTTTGGTCTGCCCTTCCTCTGCAGGAACCCAGGGTGAGTGGCTGCAAAGAAGATCTTTGTGCACTGTGCATTGACCTTTTAAGGGGGAAACTGTCTCTAGCTGTCTACTCTCTCTCCCTGGTGGACAGAATCCCTACTGATTTTCACAACCAGATGTTACATGTGCTGCTCTTCCCCACTGTGTTCTGAGCTGGGGAGCCTGGCTTGGGGTTTGAAATACATCTTTTCAGGGGGAAGCCCCCACAGCTCAGCTATTTCTGTGGAATCTCAGCCATCACCTGTGGGATCGAGACTAGCCCTTTTCATGCCTCCACCTTTCCTACCAGTCTCGATGTGGCTTCTTTCACAAATCCTTGGTTATAGTATTTCAGTTCAGCTAGCCTTTAGTGGGTTATTCCAGTTCATTGTTCTAAAATTTAGCTGTAAATCTGATTTGGCACCAGATGCAGGTCAGTGTAACTACCACCTACTCTTCAGCCATCTTGGAATCTCCAACAAGATTTCATTACTATATTCTTGACTTTAAAAGTCTTAAACATGTAAATCAATTTTATGGAACTCTAAATTTAGTACATTAATATTTTTACTTTTCTGTTACAGCACTTTCAGTTAGCCTTGATTGACTGTAATCCCTGTACTTTGTCCAAAGTTGAAAGTAAGTATTTCTAAGTACAATAGTTTTATTGTCTTTTTGAAGAACAGGCTATCCATAAGACATTCAAATCATGAACACAAATACCTTTTGTTGATTATTGAAAAAAAGAATGGGGAACACAAAACAGTTGACTTCAAAACAGTTGACTTAAGTAGTTTGTTTTTAAATGCTAATCACTGTGTTACTTGTTAACTATGAAAATGTCTGGTTTCTCATGGAACACTAACACATAGTGGTTGCCTATTTTGTGCTAGATTATCATTAGTAGTTATTTTTATCTTGTAGTGTGTTTTTTAAATGGAAAAAATATATATATTTTTTAATGTCTTTGAGGATTTACATATTCAATGGACCATGACTGTTCTTTGAAACCTCTTACCTGTGCTCATGAAATTGGGAAGATCAAAGTATTCAAAATAAAGTTAAAAAGAAACCGAATGGAAAATGTAACTTTATTTATGAATAAGTTAGGAAAATATAGTTTCTTTATGTAAACATATTACTTTTAGAGCTAACAAGATGGATATATAGAGTTAATATTTATGAAAAGTCTTCTGTGATGCGAGACTTTCATTATAAATTGTCCTTTATTCATATAGTCACAAAATGATGTTTCTGAGTAAAGTTTAATTTGAACATTTTAGGCAGTATTTCAGAATTTCAGTTTATATAATTAAAATTTTTCATGTTGACCATTTTGCTAGTTGTATATTAATGCCACTCTTTCAGAGTATGATTTAGAATGAAATAGATTTTTACCTTGCAAAAGTACCGTATTATATGGGACTATGATATCAAAGACATAGGACAAACCAATTTGTACCAGAGTTGTTTGGTTGTTTTGTTTTAGAGTTAATTACAAAATTTGGGGATACTTTTTAAAAATATGTCTCTTGATTTCAGAGAGAAAGGAGAGGGAGAGAGAGGAACATCAATTGGCTGCCTCCAGCACCACCCCCACTGGGGATGGAGCCAAAAACCCGGGCATATGAACTGGTGACCTCCTTATGTATGGGGCCACGCTTAACCAACTGAGCCATATTGGCGGGACTAATTTTTTTTGTTTGTTTTAAGTGGAATGGAATTTATGGGTATCTAGTGCAGTGTTCTTAAGTATGGGTATACAGAATGTAGTAGAAAGCTGGGAAACTAAGTAATGAAATACTATTAAAACCTTCATACCACAGGTTCACTGAATCAGAATCTTAAAGAGCTAAGCTTAAAAATTGGTAATTTTTTCATACCTCCTAGAAAATCTTTTATCTTTATATTATTTATTGATATAGAATAAGGGAGAAGATGTGGAGATGGAGAAGGCAAGAAAAGAAAAAGTCATTTTGGTATTTATCCTAAATGAGAATTTCTTGGTTTTTGTGAGACTCTTCCCGGAAAAAAAATCCATATACTTAAATATTCTGCATATAATTTGAAAGTTTTTTTCTAGTTAGAGCCTAACACAAAACAAAAAGGAGACTTATATTTGACAAATAAAAACAATGTAATTCAAATAGCTAGAATGTAGTTGTTAAAATTATTATTAAATCATTCATGCATTATGGGAATTGGACATGAAGAAGAATTTCTTTAAAAAGAAACAAAGTAGCCCTAGTTGTTTTGGCTCAGTGGTTAGAGCATTGGCCCATGTACTGAAGGTTCCCAGGTTCAATTCTGGTCAAGGGCGGATACCTGAGTTGCAGACTTGGCCCCCATGGGGGGGCATGTACAGGAAGCTGCCAATCAATATGTCTCCTTCACATCAATGTTTCTCTCCTTCCTTTTCCCTTCCACTCTCTCTGAAAAAGCAAGGGGAAAAAATATCCTCAGGTGAGGATTTATAAACAAACAAACAATAAATAAATAGGAGCAAAATAGTCTGCCTTTATTTGAATTTTCAGACTTACTTATTTTATAGCTTTGCTTTTTTTAGGTGGTTTGATTCTTTTCTGTTTTAAAAGTCACCTAATTCTGAAGAACCAAAAAATAAAAATTTAGTGAAATAATTTACTAAAAATAAAAATTTAGTGAAGTTATTTACTAAAAATAATTTACTAAAAATGATGGGTCCATCATTCACTAGACCTCCTTGACCCATCATTTAATAAACTAAAATATTAGTAAAAAAAAATTTCACTAATATTTTTCTTGTGTATGACTTTTTCAGATATATTGTTTATATAAAATTTACTATAAAGAAAATGTACATTTAAAACCTGTCTTTATTAAATAGTAGCTTTACTATGTTTTTAAGGTGACAGAACTGAATATCATGTCAAGATATAGACATTTAGAAGTTTATACTTAATATTGCCAATTTGAACTTTGTAAAATTATTATTGATTTTAATGCTTTTAATTTATGTAAATGTTTTTTAATTAAAAATAAGTGGATGAAATTTTTATTTAATAATAAAGTAATGCTTTTTCAAGCATGCTTATGATCTTTAATATATTTACTTGTATATTTTATTAAAAACAAGTTACACTTCTATATTAAATTTACAATGTAGAGTTAGCACTTTCTTATGTTGTATATTTTTATTATCTCTATTTTTGTTTATAACCTGAAACTTGCTGTATTGTAATTAATTTCTTTCCATGATCCTTTGTAGTTCAATTTCATATTGCCCACTTGTATGAAACACAGGTAAGTGTTTTAACTTACTTTACGTAAAACAAGAACAAGAACTAGCAACAGAATCCTCATCTATGCTTTAATTGAAGTTATATATGACAAATATCAGTTAATTAGTTTGAATTCTGGGTATATACTAGTACATATATTTAATAGTTTACACTCATTGAACATTTGAAGTTTTGCTTAGTGATAATTTATAAGAGCAGTATGGGAATTTGGTTCATATTTAATTAGTATAATTTTTGTAACTACTTCAACTGACTGTGGTTTGATAAATTTCCTAAACACTGCTTGCTATATAATAGAAAGTATCATTTAATATGATTTGCCTCTAATATTGGTTCATCTACACACTGTAATATGACTGTACTTAAGTTTTTTAGCTTCCTGATGATGATATCTAGTTTGTTTGTTTTTTAAATATTTATGATGGATGTTATACAGCATTGTCTTTGAATAATTTCTTCTGTTTTTCTCTAACAATGAAATATCTTTACAACATCTTTTTGTTAACACACAGTGTAGTCATCCTTTGATATTATTATCATTACTTCAAGGTAGGTTGTTGAAACTATTTCAGTTTAATTTCAGAATGGCTACTATGTGGCAGATTGTGTTTGGTTGTTGAATTGAAAACTATAGTAACATGCAGATTTGTAGTCCATGGTAGAAAATCTGGAAGTTTGTAGGAGACTGAACACAATTATGTAGAGTTCATCTAGAATATGAGTAATTGAATGTTTATTACTATATTTTAATTATAAGATAATACATGTAATAGGAGTTTCAGGGGGGAAATCACTTTGCATAGTAAAAATTTGTGTTTCATCCTTTTGTTTTTATATCCAAATATTAAATAATGGGGTGGGATACATATTATGCAGAATTATACCCCAACGAGGAAAGATGCTTGCATGACTCATTATTTATATTACTAGGTATATAGTAAGATAGTTTGAGATCATTTAAATGGCTGGTTGCCAATCCCAGTTTATGGAGTAAACAACAGGGTGAGCTTTAAAAATACTAGTATCAGATTTCTGTATCTCATCTCCCCGTTACCTCTTCCCTCACTTATATAGCCCAGATTCCTATATTTATTGAATCAGAATTGATATACCACCAAAGGTAGGACATTTTGCTAGTAAGTGATTCTTTCTATTTTAGAATATGCAACCTTCTTTTTTAAGATAAGATATCTTTTATTAGACAAGAATTTTTATTTTATTTTCTAGCTGAACCTTTCATATATATATATTTAAAATTTTTCACTATTTTTGAAATTGAATTTTAATTTTACTGAATTTGTTAAGGTGATATTGGTTAATAAAATTTTAGGTTCCAAATGTACAATTTTATAATATATCATCAGCATATTCTATTATGTGCCCACTGCCCAAAGTTGAATCTCCTGTCATCATTTGTCGGACCTCCTCAAACCATGTCGGACCTCCTCAAACCATGATTACTCCCCAACCACCATACTGTTGCCTGTATTTATGAGTGTTTGTTTGTTTGTATGTCTTGTTTGTTCATATGTTGCTTTCAGTTTCATATCCCACATATGAGTAAAATCATATATGGTTCTTGACTTTTTCTGTTTATTTCACTGTTCTCAAGATCCATCCATGTGGTCGCAATATTTCATCTTTTCTTATGACTGAGTACTGTTCCATTGTATGGAATTTTCTTATGACTGAGTAGTATTCCATTGTATATATAAACCACATATTCTTATCCAGTTATCTATAGAAGTTCACTTCAGTTATTTCCATGTCTTGGCCACTGTTCATAATGCTGCAGTGAACATAGCGGTCATATAATTTTAAGAATAAATGTTTTCTAATTTTTCAGGTAGTTTATATTTCCCTAATAGCTAGTGTTGTTTAAATATCTATTGGACACTTATCTTGGAAGAAATGTTTAGTCAGACCTCTGCCCATTTTGAAATTGGATTGTTTGTTTGGTGTTGAGTTGTATGAGTTCTTTATTTATTTTGGATATTAACCCCTTTTCGGAGCTGCTGTTTGCAAATATCCTCTGCCATTTAGTTGGTTGCCTTTTTGTTTTGTTTATGGTTTCTTTTATTGTGCAGAAGCTTTTTAGTTTGATACAGTTCCAGTCATTTTTGCCTTTATATCCCTTGCCTTTGGGGTCAGATTCATAAAATCCTCTTTAAGACCGTGGTCCTTAAGTTTAGTTACCAGTGTTTTTTTCTGTTATTTATTGTTTCAGATCTTGTATTTATGTTTTAAAATGGCCATATTACCCAAAGCAATATACAGATTTAATGCAATCTCCATCAAAATTACAATGGCATTTTTATTTTAAAGATTATTTTATTGCTTTTTAGAGGGGGTGGGGTGGGGAGAGAAACCTGATGCCAGAGCAAAGCATTGATCAGCTGCCTCCCGCACAACTCCTACCAGTGATGGAGACCACAAACCTGGGCATGTGTACTGACGTGGAATCAAACTGGCAACCCTTCAGTGCCTGGAGTGACAACCAACTGAGCTACACTCTCAGGGCCACAAAAGCATTTTTAAAAGAAATAAAACAAAAAAATAATAAGATTTCTATGGAACCACAAAAATCCCAGAAGAGCCAAAGCAATATTGAGGAAAAAGAATGAGGCGGGAGTTACCACACTCCCCGTCTTCCAATTATACTGCAAAGTGACAGTAATCAAATCAGCATGTTATTGTCAGAAAAACATACGCACAAAAGGTGTTTTGAGATGGTATGTTGTTTTTTATTCTCTGGAAGAGTTTTGTATTAAAGATTATTTCTTTTTTAGTGTTTCTAATATTTTACTGGTCAGGCCATTTGATCCTAGATTTTTCATAATTGAAAGTTTCAAATGTGGGTACATTTACATGTAGTATTTATCACTATTTAGGTTTTGGGGTTGTGGAGCCTCATTTTGGTTGAATTCTGTTTTAGGGAAGAGATTTTTTTCATTTCATCTGAACATTATTGACATACATTTGTTTATACTCTAATATTTATAGAGATCAGTGATGTGCAGTAACAAAATTGACTGAGTTTGCTTATTTGAATCTTCACTTTTTTCTTGATTGCTCTTGCTAGAGTTTTTATTTATTTTTTTTTTTTTTATTTTTTAATCCTCACTCCAGAATATGTTTTTATCAATTTGAGAGGGAGAAGGAGAGAAAGAGAAACATCGATGTGAGACAGAAACATAGATCAGTTGCCTCCTGATGGGCAATGGAACTAGAAATCTGGTCATGTGCCCTGACCAGGAATCAAACCTGCAACCTTGTTGCTTTCTATCTTATTAATTTATGCTCTTTATTTTTTTATTACTTACCCTGGGTTAACTTATTCAGTGTTATTTTTGCCAATTTTTTACATACATACATAGGTGGTCAGTGCAAGTAATTTTAAAGTCAACATGGTTTGATGCATTCTATAAGGTTGGTATGTGTTTCTTAATCATTTGAAAATATTTTCTAATATTGTGATTTAATTTTTTTAGCCTATTGTTATGTAACATACTGATTAATTGTAGCCTTGGCCTGTATGACTTAGTGGTTAGAACTTCAACCCTCAGACAGAAAGGTCTTGGGTTGGATTTCTGGTCAAGGGCCGTGTTGCAGTCTCTCTTTCGCATCGATGTTTCTCATCCTCCATCCCTTCCAGTCTCTTAAAAAAAAATCACCCAGCCAGGCGTGACTCAGTGGTTGAGCACTGACCTAGGATCCACGTGATGGGGGTTCAAGTCCCAGTCAGGGCACGTGCCCAGGTTGCAGGCTCTATCCGCAATTGGGGGCATGCAGGGGGTGGCCGATCAGTGACTCTCATCATTGATGTTTCTGTCTCTCTCTCTCTCCCTCCCCTTCCCTCTCTCTGAAATCAATAAAGGTATATTTTTTTAAATGTTTAGAAAAAAATCAATGGAAAAAATATTCTCAAATGAAGATTAACAAAATAAGTGAATAATAGCAATATAATAATTTTCTGATTATGTTACTGATTTACAGGTCAAATGTGATATTTTCTTTTATTATTTGAATCTGCTGGATAATTTTACATTGCATCAGTCTTGGTAAATGATCTAATCCTTGTTTTTATTAGGAAGAATGTCTATTTTGTTGTTCTTGGACAAACTATGCTAATAGGTAGAGATGGTTGTGTTTAGATGTTCCCTACATCTTTTTAAATTTTCTTATTTTAAAATTATTGCATGTCTATGAAATCAGTTCTCAAAGATGTATGTTAATAGAATTAAACATGATTTTGTGGCCCTAGCCAGTTTGGCTCAGGGGTTAGAGCGTCAGCCCAAGGACTGAAGCGTCCCAGGTTTGATTCCGGCCAAGGGTATGTATGTTGGCTGCAGGCTCAAACCCCAGCCCTGGTCAGGGCGTGAGTGTGGAGCAACCAGTGAGTGTGTCTCTTTCACATCTATGTCTCTCTCTCCCGGCCCCACTCTCTGAGAAGCAATGGAAAAAATATCCTTGGGCAATGATTAAAAAAACAACAACATGATTTTGTGGATCACAGTCTGTTGTCCCTTTCTATATTACAAATATTTTCTTTTCTTTTTGATGAGTGTTTTCAGTGGGTATCGAATTCTGTTTTATTTTCACACTTTGAAATTTATATTCCACTGACTTCAGATTTTTTAGTCTTTCTTGATGAGGAATCTCATGATCTTATTGTTAATCCTAGGAATGTTAAGTGCACCTTTACCCACGTTTTGATTCTTTTGTTTTGTTTTGCTGACCACTTAAGAATTTCTCTCCATATTTGGTTTTCTGAAGTTTGCTAATCATTATCCTGCTTCTTTTAGATTTCTTATTTGTAATATGTTGTATTTCTTGAATTTGTATCTTGTTGTCCTTTTATGTTGTGCAAGAGGTTATTTCTTTAAAAATTCCTTAGTTGTTTTTCTTTTGTCTAAGTACTGTGTGTTACAGCTTTCGTGGTTGCTTTTTTGTTTTTCTTTATTCTCAACTTTTTCCTTTATGTTTATTTTCTTTTGAGTT